AGCTGTAGCTCACGAAAGCTCATGCTCAAATAAATTGGTTAGTCTCTAAGGTGCCACAAGTACTCCTGTTCTTTTCACTGAGACATTAACACTCTGATCTGTAGGTTCTGGGAGGAGAATCAGCCAGACAACTGGCATCAGGAGACAGGAGGCAGAGAAGACTGCGTGGAGATCCGCCCAAGGTGGAATGATGCCAACTGCACTCTGCTTTCTAGGTGGATTTGTAAGCAGGCCCATGGACAGGCTGGGCTGTGACATGCAGGTCCCAGCACCTCAGAAAGCACCTTTATTTTCAAGCTATGGAGCATGTTTTCTAGTCACCTGCTGATGAGGAGCCCTGTGCACTGGCGGGGGCCGCTTGGCATGTGCATTGCAGGGATGCTTTGTCTTGGTGTGATATTTCTGACTGTAGCAGAGACAGCTGCCCTTATGCCTCTCAGTATGCATGGCTCTGTAATTTGTCTGTTTCCAGGTCTGTCACAAAATAAAGTCCTTGGATCATAGAGTTATTGTTTCATAATCAGCCAATAAATAATTATTTGCTTGACTTGAATTTCTAATTTTTGCACCTTTTGATCAGATGTCATGATGATGTCAGAACCATCTATATACACATTTAAAATGCCCAATTGTGTATGGTAAGGAAGGTATGTCGCCAAACATGTTTGGGCCACCGAGGAGATAAATTCATTCTCAACTGGGAGATTGGTTTCAAGAGCTGTTCGAATTCTCCAATCCCTGTGCTGCTGTGCCATGAATTCTTGGTTTCTTTGTACCCATTCTGAAGGAAAAATGGGCCCCTTCCAAAGGAATATCTGTAAATAAGCCAGGCAAAGAGACAATCTGATTTAAGTCATTTGACTATGAGCAATTTAGTCAAATTCACTAAAAGAACATAAGGGGTTTCTATTGGCACTTAACTGCCCACATTCTCCACCAAAAATGTTATGCTTAAAAAAGCACAGGAGATCTTTTACAGGGGAGAAGGCAGCATGCTGCATTTATTAAGAATACAGCAGTTAGCATATGCTTTTCAGTCACCCCCCACCCCCATGCACACAGTGCTGCCAGTTGATGTTTATAGTTACCAGTCCAGAGTCTGGATCAATCTTGTGGCCAGCCAGATTGGTCGCAGAGGGAAGCTGGGCTCTGTCGGTTGCGATCTGATGCTCCTGGAGTTGTGGCAAGACGAACCCAAAGTCCCATGGCAAAGCACCCTGGTCTTATAGTCTTTTTTTCTCAGCAGGACAGTGGGGTGGGAGGGATTTTGTATTCTGTGTCAGTTTGTAAAGCCCGCGTTACAAACTTCTTGAATTGAGTTTCAGAGGAATCATGCCAATGGTTAGTCTCTATGTCGCAAAAAGAAAAGGAGTACTTGTGGCACCTTAGAGACTAACTATTTTATGTTGAGCTATGAACTTTCTGTGTCAGCTTACAGCTCAATACCTTCTGATGTTAACATTCCAAAGCACCTCTGGGAGGGCCATCCTGTCCTTTTGATTTAATCAATTATCTTGTCTTTAGGGGTGCCAGCCTCCACTTCAGGGTCGTTAATTCCCTCAGTCATGGATGTGCATTGATGGTTCTCTGGTGTTGATAAGTCTGTTAAATTTCTTCACTCCTCCTCCCTTGATCATCTGGCTCCGACAATGGCCTTCAGACCTTATCTTTTCCTGATGCATGCACTCCTCATTCACACGAACAGTCTTTTACAGAGACCTTCAAAGGTTTACAAACAGCAGTGGTTTATATTTAGCAAGAAAGGAATTAGAAATTAAACCTCACTGAATCTTGTAATCAAAACAGTTCACACTGTGGCTCGGGCCTTCAGCGTTCCTCTACACTAATTAACACAGTCACCCTGTCTTTTACTCACTAAATCTTAAAACAAAGAAATGACTAGAGGGACATGTATAATGCATATAGGAAGCAAGACCCCATCTTTTATAATACAACTTATCCTAAAACAAAGGGTGACCATCATCAGTCATAAGGACAGTTCTGGTCTGTCCCTGCCTGAACATCAGCACAGACACTGGCAGTCTGTCAGATGCGTTTCTACCAATGCCCCAGAGGGTCATTCCTTTCTGCTATTCAAAAAGGGTGCCTGGCAGGATAAACTATGGCCTTTAATACAAATATAAAATCCTACCCCTAGATCAAAATGTGTCTGTCCCTTCCAACCCGACAGGAGCAGTCCCTCCCAAAACTGTCACTTCCTTGGAAGGACCCAATAGGTTGTTTTTCTGCATCTCAGGCTGCTCTTCTTTCAAAGACGTGTAATATTTATTTCCAAGGGCATTTAATACTGGGAGAAAGATGACAGCTCTTAGGATTGATCTCTACAGCAAGTAGCTCTGCTGATGGACCTCTACCAACACCCAGCCTCCTCACCGGAGATGGGGTAGATCCATCTCGGAGACCCACTCAGTTCTTAACAAATAGCTACCAATCATGGTGCTGGTTTGGGGGCACCTCTCTACCGGGACCACAAAATTATTTCCATAGAAGATGATGAACAGCAACCAGCTGGCAACAACCTTCAGCCACTACCCGCTGGAGTGGATTTAAATTGTTGACCTAGATGTGAAATGCTCGAGTCAGTTACCACTTGCTCAAAGTAGCCTGGCCCTGGGTTAGTCGCCCTGCTCTTGGTAATGTGTTTTACGTAGATCCCAAGGCTAGAATCACTGTGATCATCTAGTCTGTCCTCCTGTATAACACCGGCCATAGACGGTCACCCAGTTACCCATGCATCGAGCCCATAGCTTGTGGTTGAGATACAGCATGAATTCTAAAAAGCCATCCAATCTTGATTTAAAGACATCAAGAGATGGAGAATCCACCACATTCCTCAGTAAGTTGTCCCAATGGTTAATTGCTTCTCAATATTAAGCATTAACTAAGCTCTGAGATGACAGACCTATAGTCAGAGTTCTTTAAAGTACTCACACATTTTTGCTATTGTGTCCATATGAAAGGAAAACAGAACAGCAAGTGATGTAGACAGCACAGGTACCAAAAACTGCCCAATAAAGAAATGAAGAATTGCCCATTTCAGACACCTTTGAAAGGAAAAAAATTAATTCTAAACTGGGTTGACCCCCATACCAGATATACAGAGTCTGCCTTCTAGAATATAGATATGCAGGTCTGCCTGTAAAGGCCTATACTTTAAGACAGGGTTGGGCAAACTTTTTGGCCTGAGGGCCACATCTGGGAATAGAAATTGTGTGGTGGGCCATGAATGCTCGCAAAATTGGGGTTGGGGTGTGGGAGGGGGTAAGGGCTCTGGTTGGGGGTGTGGGCTCTGGGGTAGGGCTTGGGATGAGGAGTTTGGAGGTTTGGGGTTTGGAGGGTGCTCTGGGCTGGGACTGAGGGGTTTGGAGGGTGGGAGGGGGATCAGGGCTGAGGCAGGGGTGTGAGAAGGGGTTCAGGTTCTGGGGATGAGAGGTTTGGGGTGCAGGAGGGTGCTCCTAGTTGGGATTGAGGGGTTTGGAGAGCGGGAGCGGGATCAAGGCTGAGGCAGGGGGTTGGGGCGTGGGGAGAGGCTCAGGTGTGCAGGCTTCGAGAGGCGCTTACCTCAAGGGTCTCCCGGAAGCAGTGGCATGTCTCTTCTCCAGCTCATATGCGGAGGTGTGGCCAGGCGGCTCTGCACGCTGCCTCATCCGCAGACACTGCCCCTGCAGCTCCCATTGCAGCGCACGAGGGGGCCATTGGAGCACATAGGAGCCAGAGCGGGGCCATGCCATGACTTCTGGGAGCCACACGGTGTGGCCCCTGACCCAGTGCCACAGATGTAGCTTGGGAGT